CTTATTCCAAATCGGTTTTTTTAGACTTCCAAGCATTTATTTTATTCATTTATAATGCGAGCTCGAATAAACAAACCTCAATTCAAATATTTAAGAAAAAAGAATTCACGGTAAGAAAAAAATAATTCACCGTAACGTTCCAATTCGGTTTTTTCGCCAAACCGAATTCAGCTTAAGTTACCACCAATTCTTATCGCTTACTCCCAATTCTTTTTTTTTACTGGGTAAGTAGAACCTTGTACAGCGTTTATAAACTAGAAAAGTTTGCAAATAATAGATATTTGCTAACATTTTTTGCGTCCAAACGTAACAAATCGGTTTTTTCAAGATTTTTCTTTGGGATAATTACAAAAATTCGTTTTATTTGAATATAGGAGCTGGGGCAATTTCACGGTTTGAAAATTTGGAAAACATAAGCCCAATCCTAAAAGTTTTCGTTGTCCAAAGTTGGATCCATTTTTGTATAACTTTACGGCGCTTGAGGAGGGGTGTGCGCACAAAATGTACAGAAAATAGATCCCAGTTAATTTTTCTGTAACTTGGCAGAAATGTAGATTTTTGCATTCTGAGCAAAAAAGTTCTGTGGCAAAATCCAAAAAAATGAACAGTTTTCGAGCTACATGGGCTTGAACATGGCAAACATTGAACTTACGTGTATTACATATTAATGTTTAGTTGTAATAAGTCTTTTATAAATAGTTGTAACATGTTACTTGAGGGTTTATAGGGTTACCGAATAAGAATCTATAGTCAGAAACAAAAAATTCAAAATGGCGGAATCAATATGTCCGACGAATTTTTAAACAAATAATAAAAAATTGTAATAAATCAGTCAAAAATAGTTGTTGCTTGATACCTGAAGGTTTTAGGTACGGAAAACAAAAAAAAAACAAAATGGCGTATTCAATATGTCCGACGAATTTTTAAATAAATAATAAAAATGTCGTTAAAATTTGCTGGGCAAGGGATTTTATAAGGCATAAATCACTAAGTAAATACAATGTACCTAAACGGATGGATAGATGGTTAAATAGATGGATTGATAGGTGGATGAATATATTTGGATATTGGATGGATGTCTTTGCAGATGGATATATTAATGGATGTATCTGGATACATTTGTAGATGATTAGATGGATTGATCAACATCTGATCCATTAATATTAAATGCATCAAATGATCTTGCCTTGACTGTCTGGATCATTACGTGTTCTCGCCTTTATTGTCCGGTTCAACATTTCATCCTTTAATATGTTATCTGTTCATCTTTCTGTAAGCCATGTTTCCATCCATCCAATCAACTACAAATCTATCTAGACGTGTATTTATCCATGTATAATCCATCAATCCATCTCCAAAAATATGCATATATCTGTTCATCCACCTATCAATCCATTTATTAAACCATCTATTCATCCGTTTATGTTTATTACATTTACTTAGTGATGGATGCCTTATAAAATCCCCTGCCCAGCAAGTTTTGACGACATTTTTATTATTTGTTTAAAAATTCGCCGGACATATTGGATACGCCATTTTGTTTTTTTGGTTTTCCGTACCTAAAACCTTCAGGTATCAAGCAACAACTATTTTTGACTGATTTATTACAATTTTTATTATTTGTTTAAAAATTCGTCGGACATATTGATTCCGCCATTTTGAATTTTTTGTTTCTGATTATAAATTCTTATTCGGTAACCCTATAAACCCTCAGGTAACAATTTACAACTATTTATGACAGACTTTTTACAACTAAACATTAAGGGGGCATATACAGTCACGAGGCCAAAAGAAGACGCTTTTTCTTCATTTTTTTTCTCTTAAATGGTTCAATATATTTATTTAAAAAGTTTTGCATGTTATTAGTAATGTTTTAAAGAAGAGATTTTTATTTTTGTGTAGAAAAATATTAATAATTTGCTTAGTTATTAACAATTATTTTACATGAGTTTAAAAAATCGATGTATAGCGTGGACACGATAACAGATGCCATGATCATCTGAAATCAAAAAGCAAAAAAGATTTTGTTATTAGAGTCCTTTCTCTCGGGAGTGGACGAAGGAATTTCAAAAAAATTGAATTTTAGATTTTTTAGAAAAGTTTAAATTTTAGCTAGTGATTTTTGTTTAAACAATCGACTTTTTTTGTTGTTGTAAAATGTGTTCCTGTAATTGAAAAAAAAATCCTTCGTCCACTCCCGAGTAAATCTTATCTAAAAAAAGTGTGTAAAATTTTAAAAAGATCGGTTCACAATTTTGTGAGATATCATGACCACCGACTTTGAAAACACTGTTTCGAGAAAAACGCGTTTAAAATTTTTAAAGAGGATAAGACTCATAATTTTTTTATTTTTAACTTACTCAATATTTTCGATTCCAGGACCATAGTATAACTCCTCCAAAGTCTCTTCAAAGTCTAATATATCAGTTTGGTGCTGCCTCCGAAGAATTCTTGCCTCCCGCGTAGCAAGTTGCGCTTTTCGTTCGGCTTCAGATATTCTCTTCTCATCCGCTTGACAGGCGCTTCAAAATATTGTATCTCATACGATTTTCGTTCAAATCTATTCAAACCTTCAGGAGAAGTGTTTTGAAATGTTGTAGATTAATAAAAAAAAATATTTGAAAAATCGATTTTTTCAAAATTGTGACTGTATATGCCCCCTTAATATGTAATACACGTAAGTTCAATGTTTGCCATATTTAAGCCCTTGTAGCTCGAAAACTGTCCATTTTTTTGGATTTTGCCAGAGAACTTTTTTGCTCAGAATGCAAAAATCTACATTTCTGCCAAGTTACAGAAAAATTGACTGGGATCTATTTTATATACATTTTGTGCGAGGTCCTTTCATTCGACAGAATATTTACATTGCAGACGATTCATATAACAGACGTTTCATTGGACAGAATTTTTATCAAACTGAAATGTCACTTAACAGAAGTTTTATCTGACAGAATTGCCATTCAACAGAACATAAGTATAGCAAAACTATCATTGGTCATAATTTAACTTTTGCATCTTACATTCTCATCCCTGCTATATTTTTAACTTGTCGGTAAAGTAGATGTAGAGGTCAGTGGTTGCTATTTATTTCTCGCGCCAAAGTTTGAATATTAAATAATAAAACTCATATTTCATTTCATTATTAATGATAATAATTCAGATAGTTAAAAATTACATATTATTTTTCATAATTATTAAATCAATATAGAATTGTTTTTCTACCGGTAAATAACTTATTCAGCAAATGGAAATTAAGTATTTTAAAAAAAGCTGCAAATGCAACTTCAAAAAAAAAAAAAAATTTGCTACAACCCTGGAGGATTTGATTTACCTAAATTCGACCCAGCTGGGGCGAATCTAAGTCGAATTTAGGTAATTATCAAAAAAAAGCTTTAAATTGATGAAAATTTATAAAAATTAGTATTGTGAGGTTAAATGAACATTTATAGAGTTAATTTTTGTAAGAATTTCAATTATTAACGTGATAAATAATCAATAATCACTAGATATGTGCAAGTGGTAACTGTAGATTTTAAGTCGTTGTCAGTTTTCATAATATTTTCAAGAAATTAGTGTAAAATGTGTGAAAAAATAATTTATATTTACCGTGGATGTACCAGTTACCGTCCATGTCCCAGTATCCGTCCATTTTACAAATATCTTGTATAGTAATTTAAATTATTTTTTAACAATAATTTATTCCTTTTGGCACGCAATCGACTTATTAGTTTAAGTAAACAAAGAAAAGAAAATAATTTTTTTATAAATGTTATTTTGAAAATTAAACTGGACGGAAACTAGGTCTTAGGTGGACGGCAACTAGGTCTTAGGTGGACGGCAACTGGGACATCCACGGTAATAGAAATTGCAAATTTTATTAAATTATTTTATTATTTATCGAGCACAGTTTAAAGTAATTGCAATTTAATTTTAAAAAAAAGTTTTCTAAAAAGTGATAAGAACTCTACTCCCAGGTGGAAAAGTTAACATTACTAATGTTACTAACGTTACTAATGTTACTAACGTTACTAATGTTACTAACGTTACTAATGTTACTAATGTTACTAACGTTACTAACGTTACTAATACTAATAATAATATAAAATTGAGATTATTTATTTAAGTCCAATAAACCAAAAGAATTATTATTAGCCCATTTTTTGAATAAATGAACCTGAAATGGTGAGCATCGGTCACCAAGAAGTTGATGTTGGATTAACCGATGTCGCGATAATTTTTCACCAATTTTTCTTAGAAAATTAAATTGGAATGGCAATTTATGATCGACTTACCGATGTCTGAATGTTTTCTAGACATTTTCCTAAGGCAATTATTCTGACTTGGTGAACATTGAAAACCACGAAGTCGTTCATGGACGTCTTGTTGTCCAAATGATACATAACTAATTTTTCCGAGGACATTACATTGGAATGGTGAAAATTGGTCACCAAGGAGTGATTCAGGAACTTACCAATTACCAGATGATTTATGGTCCATTTTTCCAAAAAAATAACTTAAACAAGGTTAATACCTGCCACCAGGAAATGGTTGTTCCATTTTCCAATGTCCAGATAATATCTGACCAATTTTTCTGAGAAATAATCATTGTTATGGCGAACATCAATCAACAGGAAGTGATACATAGTCTTACCGATATCAACTAAATTTCAGGATAATTTTTCGGATGAAAGTACCTTAAAAATTCGTACATCAAACATCAGAAAGTACTTTAAGCAATCATTAATAATATAATGATAATTATGATGATTTAATGATAAATAATAATTTTTAACTATTCTCGAGGAAATTAAATTCGAATGGCGAACACTGGTTAGCAGAAAATTATTTATCGATATACCAATGTTTACATAATTTCTGGTTAATTTCTACTACAAATTATCAGATAATAATTACTATTTCACTTTTTCAAGGAATTCAATTATAAACATAAAGATCGTGCAACAAACAATGTACATTTCATTAGACATTTATTTATTAATTTATTAGAATATTTCAGTAAACTCTTTTCTTAAAAAGATATTTGATAATGAAATATAAATAAAGATTTCAATGCAATAAAAAACAAAGAATATCCAAAATAAAAAGAAATTTAAGTGCAATTATTTGCTTATTGCTCTTTTGTTTTGTATTTCGAACAATTTGCTTCTCAGGCTATTTTTTATTAGCCTGTTGTCAACAACTTTCCAGTTCAACTCCTTGTTTTTAACCTTAAGTTTGGCCGTCTGTCTAGTGAAATCTGAAATAACGAGTCATAAAATAATAAAAACTTTAAAAATTATGTTTACTATAAAAGTTTTTTACAATATTTCAATCGATATACATAATCAAATTGCATAAAATTATTAAATAATTTAAATCGTTAAATGAATTAATTATAAAATGCAGAATTTCCAATAAATTTTTCAAATTTATGAAGTAAAAATACTAGAACGTACGTTGTTTTTTAATTTTATACTTACTTAATATGCAATTAATTGCTGCACCTGGAAAACCTTTCTTACTCTCATCTGCTTGACCTCTTCCGGTTAAGCTGTGTGTTTTTAAGGCCTCTTCTGTGAAAATGGAACACATTAACATTCGTGCTAATGTGGTTTGTGAGTTGGCTTTCTTTTGTGCATCTTCTAATGCCTTTTTCGGTATGAAAATGTCAGTTCCTTCCAATAATTCAATGGCCTATTACCAAAAAATGTTAAAAACAATCGAAGTTTCTGTTTTATGGAATATTATAATATTCTATAATAAAAATTTCCACTTGAGTTAATTTTAGAGTAAATTCAGTGAAAACAACGCATTCAAAAATTTTCTTTTTAATCATAAAATCATGTATATTTAATTTTTCTTTCAAATTTCGAATTGCATGTGGTTTTTCCACCCTACTTTTTTATTCTATAATTAAAAGTCATATTTGCAAAGATATAAATAAAAATATAAGTTAGTAGCAGAAATTTATTCTATACTAGTTATTAAATTGTATACCTCTGTTCCTGCTGTATCTTTTGTAAACACATATAACTGCTCATTTCCATCAATCAGTGAAGTCGTTTTTCTTTCATCTGATTCTTTTGGATCATTTTTAGCTACTTCTCCATTGTCGCTATCACTGCCATAATGAGCAATCAGTCCGAATCCAGAAGGCGCTTTATTTGAACATGGTAATGCTGACTTAATAGAAGAAAAAGATGTCCGATCGGAAGACATTTGATTCAAAGCGGGAGACGCTCTTCTATTAGAAGCGAAAAGTGTTGATTTAGGTGGTGCTCCAATACGTGACGAATCAATGAATCCTTGATTAGAAGAAGATGCCTTGTGAGGAGATTCTGGTTCGCTGAAATTCATGCTGAGATTCTCTGTTGAAGTTGAAAAAGAGTTGATTTTTTCTTCCAAAAGCAGATCTATCTCATCATTTGATGTACCTTCCTTTTCGAAATCTTCTAATTCCTAGTCATTTAAAGAACGTGTTCTATGAGTGACATCAATTAAAAAATTTTAATGTCCTCTCTAAAACTAAACCAGTGAAAATCTACTGGTTTTCACTGATTTAGTTTTAAATAGTAGGTATATTTAAATAAATGTTTTCATTTAAATTTTTGACCATAATCAAAATAATATGTTTTTGAAATAAACAATTAATATTTGAGTCAATTAAGCGTTATATGATTAAGATATACCACAAAAATTATTGGACCCCATTAAATATTGTATAAATATAAAAATTAAATAACAATTGTTCTAAATAAGGGTCAGAATTTCTCAAACTGATCATCTAAAATTTTCAAAAAGTAATTATTTTTTAACGATAAATCATTTTTTATTCCAAGAATTATCAAAATAAATTTATGAAATTTTTATAATAAACAAAATTTTTTTGTTAAAGGTATTAACAAATTAATTTTTAAATAGTTTTAAATAAAAAATCTTTTTCTTAAAATCCAATTAACCCATAAAAAAATTTTTTTTCATCCTGAAATGTAGATTAAAAAAATTATTTTTGTTTTAAAAAATTTTTTAAAAAACTGAAAATGTGGTTTCGGTCTCCCTAAAAAAATTTAAAATATAAATTCCTTCATTTAATAAATGGTTTACTTGTTTGAGCTCTTCCAAAAGACCAGTCAAATTTTTCGTCACGCTTATAGTTTTTTCCACCTTTTTCAACAAATTAGATGATGTCGTATTTGAACTTCGGGTTTCATTTAATGCTTTCATCAATTCTTTTGCGCTGAGTACATTCGCCTCTCTTCGAACATTTTCGTCTTCCTTCTAAAAAATATATAATTTAATGCATAAAAAAATTAACATTAAAATTAAAATACATAATTGTAAATTTTCTTTTATAATCATTGTTTCGCGAGTGAAAAAAATTAAAAAATAAATTTTGCTAATTTATAAATATTTTGTAAGACATTTTTTTATGGACAAAAAATGGATAAAAAATGGATTATTTGGAAAACTTCTAATTAGAAATATAAAATAATTCCTTGAAATTTTCTGGTATATATTTATTATTATTATTATTATTATTATCTAATATTTTATATAAATTTATCATTTTTACAAAACATCAATATTAAATAATTAAAAAAAAAATTTTTTTAAGAATTTTGTTTGCTATTATTTTTTTCAAAACAAGAAAATATAATTGTTATTTATTATATTGATATATAATTTCAAAAGTAATTAATTACTTTTAAATTGTTTTAAAGAAGTTACCAGATTTTTCAAGAACACTGAAACTATATTATAGCACCATTGATAGGTGTTGATAAAACTAGATTTTAAAAAATTACTTTTAATATTTTTGAAAATTTTTTTAAGGAAATTCAATTGATTTTAATAAAATCTTAGTTTTCGTTTAAAAATTGTATTTAAAAATTATTTATTATTATTAATAGTATAATTTTATTATTGTTTATTAAAAATGTATTTATATATTGATATTAAGATACCTTTTTTCTTTTTTTCTCAACTTCTTGGTTTTCTGAATCTTCTGATTTATCATCAAGGGAAGTTTTATCATTTTTACACTTTCTTGACTTGGCTGCTTTCTTCTTATCTTCCTTTTTTAATTTTTTGTGCAGTGCCTTTTCTGGCCAAAAATACTTCACTTTCGAACCAGTTGTTACTTCTCGATTTTTCTGATCAAAAATGATTGATGTTTTATACACGATTGTATAGCAACCATCTCCAAAAATTAACACCTGCTCCTCCATTTCACTTCTTTATAAAATAATTTTAACTCGCGCTTTTTCAAAACTTATAATTAACAGAATTTCTTTATTCGTGATTTTCTCTATTCGCGTTATTTGATGCAAGAGAAAAGATTAAAAAAACTGATCGTCGCTACAAATCACTTCTTTTTTGTTATTAAATGCAATGAAACTGTCAGTTAATCGGCTTTTGTTTATACGAAAAAAGTTGCTTTTATAGTGACAGTTTCCGGTTAATTTTTGAAATAAGTCGATTTTATGTAACTTTAAAAAATCAATGAAATATGAATAAATATATTAAATTTCTGAAGGGAAATAATATAAAAAATTATAAATAAATTTAACGTTAATAAATGTCGTACTTCATAAATTGTTACATTTATAAGAATAATTGATTTGTAATATAGGGGTTAAGCTGATTGTTTACCTCACCGATTCTAATATGGAAAATAATATGGATTACGTTCTCAGCGAAGTAAGATTTAATTTACATTAAATTAAAAAAATCAAAGCTTGAACTATTTTAATATGAGAAATGCTTTATATTTCTTATAAAAAAATGTGTTAAAAATTTTAGTGACATTTAAAAAAAACAAAACAAAGAAACAATTTTTTTCAAAAATCAAATGTCTTTATTGGAACATTTTTTTCCATTTTTTCATACGTTTTCCTAAAGGAGAGATCGAGACATTTTCAGATGTATGAAGGAATTAATTCAAATTTTTGTAAGAAATTTTTCTTCTTATTTTAAAAAATGACAAATTATAAAAATTTTAATTTTGCTATTTTTGATGTATTTTTTCGATTTAAAAATTCATTTTTTTAAAGGGCTGTTTTTAACAATATTATTAAAAATTGAAAAAGAAAATAATAATTTATAACTTTTTAAAATGTTATAAAAATTAAAAAAAAATTTATACATTATTTTCTTCCAATTTTTAATACTATTGTTAAAAATAACAGTTTTAAAAAAAGAAATATTTTTCATTCCAAAAAAATGAACCAAAAATATTGTAAAATTAGAATTTTTAAACTGTCAATTTTTTAAATAAAAAAACACATTTTTAAAAAAATTACTGATGGATTTCGAAATATTTCATTTTTATCTAAAAATAGATTTTTTCGATTTTCGAAAGATAGTCAAAAAAATGTTTGACTCATAATTTTTGTTATGATTATTGAGTTCTTTAAGAAGAAATTAATATAAAAATGTTATCCTAAATTCCAAAGATTTTTTGTAGTTTTTTGAAATGATGTCAAAATTATTCAAAAAATTCTAATTTTAATTTTTAATTTATATCTGTAAATTTCAATTAATTTCAATTTAATTAAATAATAAAAGTTAATGGAAAATTTAATTTTTTAGTGAAAAATAAAGTTAGGGTAATTTTTAAAAATTTCAATTCACCCAGAAAAAATGAGTTCTTTGACTTCTTTTCATTCATTCAAAATAAAATTTTCTTTAAAACTAAGAAAGCTTATTAGTTTCAAATAAAATTTCTTGGATTCAAATAATTTTCTTTCAATGAAAGAATGGTAGTGTGCATTGTTATAGGGCCAGAAATACATTTCTTTGAATTTAAGAAATAATTTGTTTGAAACGAAAATAATTGTTCTTAAAATCAATCAAACAAATCAATTTCCTTTGTATTAAAGAAAAATTTATCAAAGAAATTTATTTCTCTGAATCAAAGAAATCTATTTCTCCTAGTAGGAATTTCCATCCCAATTCTTGTTGGAAATTTCGACAAAATTCCGATTAAAAATTCCGTTTGTAAATTTCTATCGGAATTTTTATCGCAATTCCGATCGCAAATTTGCAATTGGATTTTTTAATCGGAATCTCCAACAAGAATTTCGACAGAAATTATCCTAGGAGCACATTAACGTTTAATATATTATTTTATGTAGGACTCTGACAATGAGTTAGCTGGTAACGAAATGGACGTCGATGATGCATATTTACACTCGTCCTCTGTAAGTCTGACCGATAGCGATGAACATTTACACTCATCATCTGAAAATGACAGTGATGAACCTTTAGAAACGGACGATGAAATGGTTAGTGATGGTGGAGAACGCGCGGAGTCTTCGGCTGAAGAATCCAACAATTTTTCTTCCACAGATTCAGAAGTAACTGAAGAAGAAACCGTTTCAACTTTAACTTCTCCATTTGAATCTGAGATTTCCGATGCGTCTGATGCTGCAAGTAATTCATTCGTTCATTCTGATGAGAATGATGACGATAGTGATGATAATAATAACTTTGCAATCAATTGGCTCTTCCAACCAATTTATAAGGGAGCAGACTGCTTAAACGGAAATCTTTTGTGTCAAATGTTAGACATTTATGTCACGAATGCTTCCTCCAAGCAGGTGCTAGACAAATTAATGAAACTTATAGATACTGTAGCCCCAGCAAATGCGAATAGCTTCCCAAAAACGCGATATTTTCTTATAAAACTATTAAATAAATTAATGCCTCATTCCATGCGGGAAACAGTAACGAGACACATAATATGTGATAGGTGTTTTAGATATATTGGGAAATGGAATCAGGAACCACCAGCCACTGTTAGTGATGTCTGCTCAAACCCTGATTTAAAAGGCATTTTCCTTGAGTTTAGTATTCGTGCTGCAATAGAAGACGCATTTGAAGTCGGAAACCTACAACATTACATTGACAAATATCGAAACGAATGCCTCGATAAACAAGATGAAAATATTATTTTTGATATTGTTTCTAGTAGTGAATTTAAGCGTCTTCAAGACACTCTAATGTTGGAGAAGTACGATTTATGTTTAATGTGGAATACAGATGGAATTCCCACTGATAGCGCCCATGGGTCACTGTGGCCTATTCAAGCACAAATTCTCAATGTCAGTCCAAGGACTAGAAGAAGATTCCAGATTCTTTGCGGTCTCTACTATAACAACAAAAAATCTAAATCAAAACCGCCAATGTTTTCCTTTTTGAATCCATTTGCGGAACAACTTGTAGATTTGTGGCATAATAAAATAAAGTGGAGAAACAAAGAATCTGGTGAAGTAGTAGAAACGCTAGTAATTGCTCCCGTTGCTGTCTTAGATCTTCCAGTTAGGGCCGGTGTCCAGAATGTCATGCAATATAATGGCGAAAACCCATGCTTTGCTTGTGAACATCCTGGACAGACCTGTCCTACGGGAGCTGGACATAATCGTGTTTTTCCTTTAGATGGGGAAAATTATCCATTGAGAACGAAGGAAAGAATGCTTGAGCAAGCAAAGACTGCAATTCGTAACAGAAAGAAGCATGAAAAAGGTGTTAAAGACCCTTCAATTGCATCACGAATACCTCAATTTGATGTTAGTAAGGGATTTGTGCCTGATTACATGCACTGCGTGCTGCTAGGTGTCTTGCTTATGTTACTTTATCTTTGGTTTGACTCTTCTAATAATGCAAGAGATTTCTACGTACCAAAATCGAAACAAACGGAAATTGATGAATTTTTGCTGGATATTCAACCACCAGATTTTATTACGCGAACTCCACGACCTTCGGAGGTTAATTCTCATTGGAAAGCGTCGGAATTGAGAGCTTTTCTTTTCTTTTACGGTCCAGTCCTGTTAAAAAACATTTTAAAGCCCGAATATTACAACCATTTTTTACTACTCGTTAGATCTATAAGCATTCTCAATCAAGCCGTTATCACAAAAGATGAAATTGATCTCGCTGATACTCTACTTCATATTTTCGTTCATGATTTCGAGTTTTTGTACGGTTTGGAAAAATGTTCGTTTAATGTCCATCAATTGTTACATCTAGCTCAGTATGTCAGAATGTGGGGACCATTATGGTCTTGGTCTGCATTCCCTTTTGAAGATGGGAATGGGTATCTCGTGCGAATGGGACACGGAACGAATAAATTGGAAGTAGAGTTGGCCAATACCATGCACTTTGTAAGTGCTCTACGATTGGTGAATAACATAATGGAAATAAACTCAAATGAAAAAGATTATAGTGCAAAAACTCTTGGTGCGACCGTTAATTATACTTTAACTAATGATCAAATTTTAACTTTAATTCGCGATACAGGTTATTCAGTAAATAACATAAATAGCAAGATACCCTGGCGGATTGTGATCCCTGAGAGATCCCTGAACTCAGGGATTTGTCAGGGACTGTCAGGGATTGTTTAAAAACAATTGTTAAACAAAAGAAAAGACCACTTTGCAATACAATTTTTAAAAGAGGGAGATGTAAGGGATATTTTTGTATAATTATTTAAATAAATAACACTTTTTGTTATTGCAAAATTAATTTTTAAAAAAGTGTTATTTTCAGGGGGTTTGAAAGTTAGTCAGGGATTTGTTAAAAACACACAAGAAACAACTAATTTGACCACTTTATTGTTATGTAATTAAAACTGCATGATTTGTTGCAACAATTGACACAAAAAAACTGGCACTTAATACTGCACTTATTGTTAAAATAAATAAAAAATGTCATGTTTACATTTTCCCGAGGGAATATATAGAATGCACTGCCGGTAAGTAGTAATAACTGGTCGACCAGTTACCATGTTGAATACCGCGCAACCACATGATAGTGCTTGACGGTAAGCGGTTAGTTTTAGATTCAGCTGAACATAGCAGATGGCGCTACAGTTTGAAGTTAAGTTCTTAATTATTTGTGAATAATGTTTTAATACACTTTTTGTCGCGAGAATCCGAATTTCTCATGATAGGTAAGTAAACAATAATTATTAATAGAAATAAAAAATATTAATAAATTTATATACATAATAATATAATATAATTTATATATTTTTGTTATTTATTTTTATCCTTTTTTAGTTGTTTATTATTGTTATTATTATTACATTCTCATCATAATTAGAAATTATTAAATTTAACCGATTTCTTTAGAAAACAAAAAAATTATTTAAATTTTTAAAATAAAAAAATAATTTTTTAAATTTTTTTTCGAAAAATGCGAGTAAAAATAAAACCTTTCTCTCTTT